ACATTTTTTTATGTATCTATTAAGTGAAACAAATAATTAGAGAGAGAGAGAGAGAGAGAAAAAATAAATATTTTTATTTAAGTTATTATATAAGTTTTTTTTCGTTTGTAAAAAAGTAAATAAATATTATATATAATAAATTAATTATTAGTAAAATTTAATAATTAAATAAAATTTTATTATAAAAAATATGATTGATTAAATACTTATAATACTTATAATAATAATAATAATTTTATTGATCATTGTTTATTATTATTATTATTATTAATATTAATAGTAATATTTTATTATTGATTAAAAAATTGTTAATTAATTATAATATTTAATATATATATTTAATAAATCTCAAAATATATATACATAATAATATTGCAATATTTATTTAGTTAAAACAAAAAATATTTTAAGTTTATTTTAATTTTATTATTATTATTATTATTATCATCATTAACGTTTTATTAAATTTGTGTTTTTATTTTTTTGTGTTTTTTTTTAAATAAATTGTGATTAAATAATTAATTAATTAATAACCCACTGATTATATGATTGATATAATAAATCTATAATAAAACTATTATAAAAATTGTGTTTTAGTTTATTTTTTCAACAAAAAACAAAAATTACTTAAACTTTAATAAACTATGTTTAATAATATGTAAAAATAAATTATTTGTATTTATATATCAACAAAAAAATGATAACTATTAAAATTGGTATATTATTATTATTATTATTTATTTCCTATTATTGTATAAAAATTAATTATTAATTTTATAGTTATTTTAAACTTTATATTATTATGTTTTTATTATTATTACTAAAATTTTAATATAATTTTATAAAAATTTATTATTAAAAAAATACACATACGTCATTAAATATTTTTATTTAAATATACAGTATATATATATATATATATATATATATATATTATATTTAACTAAAAAAAATTTTATTTTTATTTATTTATTTTTATATAAATTTTTATTTTCTGCAACTCTTTTCATATTTCTATTTAAAAAAATTTATTTTAAATAACTTATTTAATTATAAAAACTGTAACATTACTAGCAATATATATATATATATATATATATATATATAGTTAGAAATTATTAAATAAATAAATAAATAATTTGTTTTATTTTAAACTAATAATTATTATTATTAGATATTTACTATAATTGTATTTTTGTTATTTTTAAAAAAACAAAACAAAAACAAATTATATTTCAATATTATTAATAAGTATTAAAAATATATTAGACTATTATAATTATTGGCAAACATTTATTACATAAACTACAGTATAACTAAAGTACTGTTACAGTATTACTATAATAATAATACTACTAATAATACTGTAATTAGTTTTACTGTTTATTTATAATAGTATTTTGAAATTCATTGATTGTTTATTTATTTATTATATCTAACTTTACTTGTAATTAAATAATAATAAAAAATCATAAATTGTATTCAAACTAAACAATCATAAATCATTATATAAATTACATTACATTATAAATAAAATTTAATTACTATTTCAAGTGATACATAATAAATACAAATAAATTAAATAAATAAATATATTATTTTTTTTTTAAATAATATCAGTTTAAAAATTATTAGTTTTGTTTTTTGGGAATATTTTATACTCAATAAAAAATATTTTCTAGTATTATATATACAGTATATATAATGATATTTTTATTTTCAACTAAATAAAAAAAATAAAATAAAATAAAGATATTATCATTTTCTGTATGTATGATAAAATAAAACATCATTTTTTTACTCTCTCTCTCTCTCTACAGTTTAAGGGTTTAAAAATAGTTATTTAGTGAAACATAAAATTTTTTTTATATTTTTTTCCACTTAACTAAAAATAAATCCCTTTAAAAAAATTTTCATACTTTATTTGACTCTTATTAATGTATGTGTGTTATAATAAACTGTATGTACTGTATGTATGTATGTGTGTGTGTGTTATAAACAAACTTTAATATTATTAATATAATGACTAAAAATTATTTCACGTATTATTATTATTATTATATATAATTTAATTTATTAAATTGTTATGTATATATATATATATATTTTGTAAAAAATAATAATAATTTAATTAAATTATTTATTTATTTTTTTTTATTTGTTGCAGATTTCAAGTTATCAACAAAAAACAATATATAATATATTATTCAACAAACAATCAACAGTGAAATTAAAAATTATAATTATAATAATTTAAAAGTTATTTAATAATAATAATAATAATAATAATAATTTTTAAAAATTTGATAAAAAAATTACTCAACATTAAAAACTAGAAAAAAAATTAAATATTAATAATAATAATAATATATATATATTGATTAAACTCAACTATTATTATTTAATAATAATTGATATTATTTAAATTAAAAAAAACTTAAATCATTTGAATATTTATTTTTAAAAATCATATCATAAATATACATGTGTTTTTAAACAT